TGCTTCTCCTCTCTCTGTGTAACTCTTTCAAATAAATAAATAAATATTTTTAAAAAATACACATAGCTCCATTTCACTGCCAAATGCTTAAGATACTTCTTAAAATTTTATTTGAAGGTTTATTTTATTTTTAAAAGGCAGAATTACAGAGAGGCAGACAGAGAGAGAGGGAGAGAAAGAAAATAGGGTGAAGGTCCTTCCATCTGCTTGTTCACTCCCCAGATGGCTGCAATGACCAGAGCTGTGCCAACCTGACCAGGAGCTCTTTCCAGATCTCCCATGTGGGTGCAGGGGCCCAAGGACTTGGGCCATCATCTGCTTTCCCAGGCTGTGGCAGAGAGCTGGATCAGAAGTGGAGCAGCTGGGACTTGAACCGGTGCCCATATGGGATGCCAGCACTGCAGGCAGCAGCTTTACCTGCTACTCCACAGTGCCAGCCCAATCCAGCACTTCTTACTGGCACCTCTCTGTCATGCTGTCCCCCACAGTCCTGCTCTGGTAGCTACTCGGTGTGCAGGTGTGCAGGTGTGCTCTGGGAGCAGAGGCTAGAGAAAGCTGAAGGAAGGGGAGTCGAGGAGAACAGCAAGGGGCTTTCGGGTTTGTGTATTTGGAGGTTTGGTGGCTGACTTTCTGACCCTTTCCTCAGCTCTGCTCTCGCTCTCCCCCCCTTCTCTCTCCCTCTCTCTCCCTCTCCCCCCTCTCCCTTTTTGTCTCTCCCTCTCTCCCCATCTCCTTATCTCTCCTTCTTCATTCCCCTGCCCCCTCCCTCTCCCCCTCTCTCCCTCTCTCCCTCTCTGTCTCTCTCCACACCTGCTCATTAGCGATGTCCACACTATATTTTGAATGTCACAGTTTCTGTGATGAAGTGTCTCCGGTTTTGCCTTAGGTAGTCTATAGTATGTTCAGATTGACCTTTTTAAAAAGATTTATTTAAAAGACAGAGTGACAGAGAGAGAGAGACACACAGAGAACTGCCATCCTCTGGTTCACTCCCCAAATGGCTGCAATGGCCAGGGCTGGGCCAGGCAGAAGCCAGGAGCATGGAACTCCATCTGGGTCTCCCACATGGGTGGTGGGGACACAAGCACTTGGCCAGTTTTCCACTGCTTTCCCAGGGGCTTCAGCGGGGGCTGGACTGGTAGAGCAGATGGACTCAAATCATTGCTCATATGGGATGCTGATGTCCTCAGGGGCAACTTAACATACTGCAGCCCAACCCCCGGCAGCTAGGTTATACCCTTTGAAGCAGACATATGAAGGTTGTGAATTTGGTTTGCAGTCCTTGTAAGTTTTTTCACTTAAATTCTGATTTAAGAAAAACAGGATTGCCTCGTGTCAGTTCTTCTGGTGGCCTCTGCAGTAGAGAACTGTGCCAACGTTGGTTTGTCCATAAGGTCTTCTCCCCTTCCAGCATCCGGGAGATGAGCACACACCAGAGGACAGGTTTAGACCCTCAGTGCTTTCCTCCCACTGGAATGTCTGACATGGGTGAAGGATATGACCTGGGGACTTGGTGTTAAATCTTCTAGCGCCATTTAGTTGATTGACACAGTGGAGGGTATGGCCACTTTCGACTTCATTCCATTGAGCAAAAAAGCCCACGCAGTGATAACAAGCAATAGGGGTACCAGACCTATCCTCGTCAATCTGTTTCAGTCCTTTCGCACTTTGCCCCCATATATTTAAATTATTGTTTACCAGATTGTTGTCAGCTGGTTTATTTGCATTACCTCAATTACTAGTGTGGCTGAGTGTTTTCCCACCATCTCTGTCTTTGTAGTATATCAATTTTCACTAAAGAAAACCTTCTTCACTCCTGTTACCTTTATGACCTAAATACTATCATCTTCTCACCATAAGTTTCAAAAGATATGCCCACAGTCCATTATTCATTTTATTATGACTAGGTAAGAGGGAAGGTATCACCTTTCTAAAATTTTATTCTCTCACAGAGGTCTTTTGTTTTTCTGGATCTTGCTAATATTCTCATGTCTTCTCTCTCTGTATTTTTCAGGAGATGGTCATGACAACATAGAAACACAACATGGAAGAAGAAAAGGAAAAGCACGCCATCAATTTACACCTGAGGAACTGCACATACTGAATCAATCATTTGCAGAGAGTCCTTATCCTGACTTTACGACCAAGGAGGAACTGGTCAAAAAACTCCATTGTTCGTTTTACACAATTGAGGTACATAAACTACGTAGGTATTTACATGAATATGTCTTTGTGGACAATAATAAAAAAGCAACTAATTATGAAAAAGTATAACAGCATTTCATCACATAAGACAGCGTTGACATTTGGTCCCATTTCTTCTTCATGTCATTGTGGATGTGACTATATTAAAGCATGTTATGTGTTATTTTTGAAACAGATTATTATTTGAAAATCAGAGTTACACAGAGAGAGGGAAGGAGAGGCAGAGAGAGAGAGCAAGGTCTCCCATCTGCTGGTTCACTCCCCACCTGGCCTCAACGGCCGGAGCTATGTTGATTCGAAGTCAGCAGCCAGGAGCTTCTTCTGGGTCTCTCATGTGGGTACAGGGGCCCAAGCACTTGGGCCATCTCACTGCTTTCCCAGGCCATAGTTGAGAGGTGGATCAGAAGTGGAGCAGCCAGGACTTGAACTGGTGTCCATATGGAATGCCGGCTCTGCAGGTGGCGGTTTTACCTCCTATGCCACAGCACTGGCCCCAATTACTCTCACTTTACAAAGGAGAAAAAGTAGAGTAGAGGTTCCACAAAACACTTAGGGTAAGGTATAAAGTAATACCGCTAAGTTATGGCAGACGCTTGTTTGTTTTGGGTATGGCCTTTGAAGAAAATGACATTTAGAATACGATTTAGAATACGTTGAATTAGGAATTCATTCTGGAAAAGCAGTTGGAGTAAAATAAGCAAGCTAAGGGAACATATTTTGAGAACAGCTGCTTCACGTCTAAATGCAGAGGGTGCAAATAGGTTGGTAGAAGATTTGGAAAAGTAGGGATTTGCTCATACATAAGGGCCCGTGCCTCCTTTGAAGTCAGATGGGAATCCAGAATTGTGCACAATTACGATTTTAATTATTATAAACGTATATTTATATATACATTTACATATCATATTTACTATAAATGCATTCTCGTATTATAAATATAATAACACAGGAAGCCCCTGGAAAGCGTGCTTGCATTTTGCATGTCTTACTCAAGGTCACGAAGGAAATCAGTGATGACGCTGATCCTAAGATGAACTACAAAATTCTCCTACATTGGCGAATATATAGACTCGAAAGTAATTTCTGTTTTGTTTCTTTTTTAGAACTGGTTCCAAAATAAAAGAGCCAGACTAGCAGCCAAGAAGAGATGCAAAGTGCTTGAAGCCAGGATGCCATATGCACTCCCTGTCCAAGGTCCCCCAGGTGTAAGACTGCAGAATTCCCAGGAGCGGTTTCCCAACACTACCCAGGTGGCTGTGCTGGGCGGAGCTGTCTACGCCACTCCACGTGCCCAGGTGTGGTCTCCCAACTTTGCCCAGGCAGCTGTGCTGGGTGGAGCTGTCTACACCACTCCATGTGCCCACGTGTGGTCTCCCAACACTGCCCAGGTGGCTGTGCTGGGCGGAGCTGTCTACACCACTCCACGAGCCCAGGAGTGGTCTCCCAATGCTGGCCAGGTGGCTGTGCTGGACGGAGCTGTCTACCCCACTCCACATGCCCAGGAGTGGTCTCCCAACGCTGCCCAGGTAGCTGTGCTGGGCGGAGCTGTCTACACCGCTCCATGTGCCCAGGAGTGGTCTCCCAACGCTGCCCAGGCAGCTGTGCTGGGCAGAGCTGTCTACTCCACTCCACGTGCCCAGGATTGGTCTCCCAACGCTGCCCAGGCAGCCCTGCTGGGCGGAGCTGTCTACTCCACTCCACCCACATGGGAGGTTTCCAGCCCGCTCTACGGCTCCTGGGATTCTGGGGTTCGAGGTGCTCAAGAGGCACCAAGCTATGCTCTGGAGAATCAAGGGAACGTAGGAGGTGGATCTTTTCCCCGTGGCGTTCCAGGAGCAAGGTTTATTCATTCTTTTTCATACGCACCGTATTTTGGGAGTTCCAGGTCAGAGATGAGGGTCATGCAGCCTGATTGGCCTTCCCTGCTACCCGGTGTTCCCAGTGCTCAGGGAGCGATGCAACAGCTGCAGGAGCAGAGCTCTCTTCGTTACCCACCATGTGAAGAATGGCAGCAGAATGGCTGGGGAACACACCCTCAGCAGCCCCAGCAGCCTCCGGATTACTGGCAGGAGCTGCCCTCCCAGGACCAGTTTCCAATGCAGCAGAATCACAACAGCGCAGAGAACAGGGTGCCTTTTCCTCTGTCCCAGCAGTAGCCTGGAGATCGTCAAGGTGATGGAGAGCTCATGTTCTTGCAGGTGTTGAGCACAGCTCTGTGGGTACTCAGTTCTCCAACAGAACCTCACGAGCAAGATATGCAGCAAGAAGGTGCCCGAGATGCCCAGTTCTGAAATCCAGGACATTTTGAAAGAGGAACACACCGGTGCCAACTTCTGGGACTAGAAATGTGGCTGCAGGAAATGGCGTTGGGCTTTTGAGTCAGCAGATGGCTGTCATACTACAATTGTGTACCTGGGAGTCGAAGGTTCTTGAAAGAAAGGAACTAGCTCATAGTGTACATCCTTTGTGTGTGTGGCTGGTTAGGGTTGTGAACGTATTTTCTATCATGTTGGCATTTATATTCTTGAAGGACATTTTGTACTGGTAGTTATTGTAGGGGTTTGTGTCACGTTAAACTAGGATTAAAGGAGTCAATTAGGCTACCTTTCTTACTATTTTCTATAATTTTGTACAACACTGCACTTAGCCCTTCATTAAACATTTGGATTTTACAATGACGGCTCTGATAGATTCATTATAGGGAGATTTTGCCTCCTGATCTCATTATAGGTGATTAGAAAACTATCATTTCTCCTTGAGTAAAATTTGTGATTATGTTGCTAATACTAATTCCATTTCATCTAGGGTTTTAAATTTACTGCTATAAATCATCTGAAGTACCATTAGGGCTTTCATTCCTAGAGTATTTGTGTATGTAAAATGTGTCATTTTCAAGTTTTAGACTCGCATCTTCTAATCTTGGTGTTTTATTGCCAGCTATTTGTCCCTTGGAAGAAAAGTTTGGAGAAAAACCCAGATTGCATGGAGTCCTTTAAATTTCACCATGGGTGCGGTCCCTGGTCTTGAGCAGTGTATGTTGCTGCCTCCCAGTAGGGAAATGTGAAAAAACATTACTTCCCAGGCCGGCACTGTGGCACAGCGGGTTAACACTCTGGCCTGAGCACTGGCATCCCATATGGGCACCGGTATGAAACCTGGTGCTCTGCTTCCAATCCAGCTCTCTGCTATGGCCTGGGAAAGCAGAAGATGGCCCTTGTCCTTGAGCCCCTGCACCTGTGTGGCAGACCCAGAAGAAACTCCTGCCTCCCAGCTTTGGATCAGCACAGTTCAGGCCATTGCAGCCAACTGGGGAGTGAACCACCAGATGGAAGTCCCCTCTCTCTCTCTCTCTCTCTCTCTGTGAAACTCTGACTTTCAAATAAAAAATAAATATTAAAAAAAAAGATCTCTACAGGTGCTGGTGCTCTGGTGCAGCGGGTAAAGCCGCCATCCTATATGGTTGCCCGTTCAAGTCTCAACTGTTCCACTTCTGATCTAGCTCCCAGCTAATGCACCTGGGAGAGTCGTGGAAGATGGTCCAAGTCCTTGGGCCCCTACACCTATGTGTGAGACCCGAAAGAAGCTCCTCCTCCTGGTATAGCTCCAGCTGTTGCGGCCTTTTGGGGGAGTGAACCAGTGGATGGAAGACTCTGTCTGCCTGTCTGTCTCTCTGTCATTCTGCCTTTCAAATAAATACAGCTTTAAAAAAAATTCTGTAACTCAGACAGTAGGATTTAGACAACAGGCAGGGGCATGGGCAGGGGCACAGCATCTAACAATTTATTCTCTTGGCTTGTTTTCCCAAGAATATTCTAAGAAGAGTGATCTTGCAATGCTGTACCCCCAGGGATTGGGCCTCACAGCAAGGAGAGCTGCAAGAGCCCAGCAGGAGTTGGGTTTTGAACACACGATGCGTGCTGCTGTGGGTTGCTTGAGCAGGTAGGGCCCTCTTGCTTCTCTTTTTCCTCTATCCCAGCCACGCCCTCACTCTACAATCCCTCAAAAATGGCTTCTCACAGAGGCAGTAGTTTTAGGGAGCTGTACTTTCCAATCTCCTTGTCACAATAAAGCTGTCCTTTGAATTGTCGTGGGAGACCAATCATTTGTTGACTCCCCAGGCAAATGAACCCCTTTTGTCTGATATATGGAGGGGCAGGGGAGCTGCTCTAGGACTTGATGAGAGGTGTCCACTCCAAGCTGGAGGGGTGGGCATGCGGCCATATTTGTCCTGTAGTTTGGGGCCTTCTCAATACACAGTTGCTCCTTATGCACAGAACCCTGGAAAGCCAGCCAGTCATTTCCTGCGACCTCTTTCAAAGCAGGACTGGGGACCGGAAGTGTGCAAGTGTGTCAGGTCCTGTCCTGGTCACTTGAGTTGTCAGGCACCACCCAGTGACAACCTGAGGCAGCAGGCACTGAGTCTCTGGCCCTAGCACCTTGCATCTGAAACTGTGCAGAGAAAAGCCCAAGAATTGTTTCTGGTGGGAACTGGGACTTTGCGTCTGGCTACTACAGACCTTCACTCTGTCTGGTGTGTGGAGGCTCCAAGGGGCCCACTGTGCAGTGCGGCACAGTGCAATACTTCCAGCAGGGAGCCAGAATCAGGAACAGCAGGGTGACGTGTGTCCGGGCAGCTGCAATGGGGAGCCTGCTAAGGGGTTGGGGCAGTCCCTGCTCAGCTCTGTGCCTCCCCTTTAAGGTCTTTGCATGTTCCTCTGTGAATTCTGCTGGCAGGGTGGTTGTACTGCAGAATTTCTTGGTGGACAAAGTGTACCTTAGTGTACCTGACTCAGGTGAGATGTGGTCAAAATCAACTCCTATAGGAAATTTTGAAGGTATTTTTAAGTTCTCCATCTCCACCGAGGTCCCTCTTAGCTTGGTGAGCCTGGTTGTCCAATCGCCACCACAGTGGATTCACAGCAGCCACAGACATGCTGATGGTTTCCTCAACAGAGACTGTGTGATCCAGACCCACAGGAGAGTCTGGGTGGGGGTAGGGGGCACATCATCCTCTTTGCATGCCCTTCCTACAATGTCCCAAAGTCACACTGAGCCCTATCAAAGCATCAGCCATGGACATCTGTGGGGCAACCCCGGAGCTCAGCTCCTGGTCCTCCAGTAGAAAGTGGTTGCTGAGAAGACTTGGCTACGGCCACCCATCCCCAGGATCTTCCCACCCTACGGTGTACTGGAGTGGACCCTGAGTTTGAGTCCTAGCTGTTCCACTTCTGATCCTGCTCCCTGCTAAAATGCCTGGGAAAACACCAGAGGAGGGCAACTGCATCCTTGTGGGAGACCCACAAGAAGCTCCTGGCTCTTGGCTTCAGCCTGGCTCAGCACCAGTCATTGCTTCCATTTGGGGATGAGCCAGTGGATGGAAGACTGTCTCTGTCTCTGCCTCTGTTGTATATCTGCTTTTCAAATACAGAAAAATAAATATTTTTTAAAACAACCTTTCTTCACCAGTCTGGGAAATGTGACATTGTACATTTAACATTATGCAAGGAGATGCCACCAGGAATATCCAAAGCCAGGAGCAAGTGAGCAGTACCAGTGGGTGGCCAAGGGAGGATATTGGAGAAATAGCTCTGCTATTTCTGCTAAATAGCGGTGGGTGAGTAGGATGGGACACCCTCTCTTAGATGCTCTTGCCTGGAAGCCTCAGGTGGGCAGTGCAATTCCACCTTCTCTCTTGGCTCCCTGTCTGCTCCTGGTTTCTTCAGAAAAGTAGTGGAGGAGAAACAGATCTGGCATTCACAGGCTTGGGTTCAACACCCATCCCGATGCTTCTCTCTTGGCCTCTAGACTTGACTTAAAATGGTTCCTAATGAATTAGGACTCTGGCTTTCCAACCATGTGTCCAGAGGAGTCCTTTTTTTCCTATAAAATCTTACTCTGGAGTCTTAGCTTAAAGTGAACCCTGCATGGGTTGAGGGGCTGTGGCTGCCTTATCCATCTGAATCTCAGGTCTGAGACCTCTGAGCCTGCCTGTGTCTGGATCCTTCCTTCAGCAATGGGTGATGGCATTTCTGAGCCGTCTTGAGCTGGTGGGAGAAGGTGTATTGCTTTCATTTTTCCCCCCAAATCAGTCTCAGGGTCCCAGAGTTGACACAGCTGTGGGACAGGGGACATTGCTCACGTTCTGGCCTGGGTCGGCCCCTGGGTGATCAGGAAGGCTCTACCAGGACGAGTGCAAGCCTTTGAGCTCAGCTTAGTGTTTCTAGAGGCTTGTGGGTAGCCTAAGGAGGTGGCAAATTCAACAGTGTAAGATGGTGGTGAGATACAGGGGTCGCCTGCATGGCCCATCATCAGCTGTTGGAGAGGCGCGCCTCTGGCCAGGTAGCCCCTCTCCTGACATTGACCGAGCTGGCCTGCTGACCTTTTTCTTTGCAGGACTCCCTTTGGCTCTATATCCAGCCTCTAAGACTCCCACATCCACCATCATTACTTCATGGTTTCTCTGTTTGGCAGGAAGACACCCAGATGCAGAGAGTGGCCCGGGTGCTGCGCTTACCCCGTGCTGTTTCCATCTCCTGTCAGGTGGTAACTGGATGTCCTGTTTGGTAGTTGCTCGTACGTCCCACAGGCCCTTTCCCCTGGCCAGGGCCACCTGGCATGTCACCTTCCCTCATAAGTTAAACATATAGTCCAATCGTATCTCTGGTTAAAAGAAATTCAGAAAGGTATGTATTTTTAAAACATGGGATTTAAGAGATTATTTTATAACCTGATTGTGTCCGTGAGCTCCTGTTTAGGGACTGGCACATGGAAGGTGCTTAGTAAATGTTGGTTTCCTGCCACCTCCAAGGTCAGTTCTGTATCTACATACAGCACAAAGTACTCTTTCCTACAGGATGATGACTGGACTGAAAATTACCAGGTATGGATTAAAACAAAAGGGAACTCAACAAAATATTACAAGTAGTTATTCCTGGGCAGTAGGATTTGGGAAGCTCCAAATTTATACCATGTCTTCATGTATTCATGCATTCAAATTTATTTACTCTTTCACTGATCTCACAAATCAAAAGGAGTATTAATTCTGATTGATAGTGAGCTATGGCACATTCTAACACGTTAGATCCTTAAAGGACTGGTTTTAGGAACACAGTAAGAGAGACGCAACCTCCCTGGGCTTGTTCTCCTTCTCCCTTCAAAGAAGTGTACAACACAACACAGTCTTTTGGTTTTCATTAGAGGCTCCAAATGCCAGTCACAAGAGCTGTCAAGCTGCAGGGCTGGGCCAAACATCCTCGGCTAAGACCTCAGGGAGGCCCAAGAGGCCACTGGGAAGGAGTCTCAGAACACTTGGGCATTTCCTACCACAGTCTCAAGCCCAGAGAACAGTTTCAACATAGCCACCTGGAAATCCCCTTGCACTCTGGCAAAGGGCGACTGTGTCACTCCAAAGCATAGAGATGGGTTCAGCCTGCCCGGAGGGAGAGCAAAGGAACAGGACTTCCCTGAGGACCCCACTTGCAGAAGGTCCCGCGGGGAGAACTGGAGGCTGCTTACTGTGAGCCTTGCAGGTCTTGCAGGAGGGCACTTGATATGAGGGATTGGGAGGGTTAAATGGTAATCCGACCTGGAGGCCCAACACAAAGGTAACCTCACTAAGAGGATGATTTCCCCTAAACACAAATGCCAAGGATGGAACTGCAAGAGGCAGGCTGGAGGAGGCACCTGCAGCAGCCATAGAGAACTGCACAGGAGGATCCCTCTGAGGACCTCCCAGAGACAAACAGTCAGCACTGTGTCTGAGGCATACCCAGCTCCCAGACGCCTGGTCCCCAGGCAGCACCCACTGAAGACTATGTCCTCCTTGCCCTAACTATTCCCACCATTCCAAGGGGTCCAAAGGCAGCTGTTGCTGGGGAACAAGGGAAAAAAGAACGAGAGAGAAGGCACCAGCTGCACCCTGTTCGCTAAGCCAGGCTCCTCAGCCCCTGCTCGATGATCGGATGATCTGATTTAGAACAAAGCTTATGGCTTTAACAGCTGGACTTCCTGACATCTCAGAGGGCCCAGGATTACCTATGCATCTGCTTGAAGTTTCACCTGTGGTTAGAGAGGCATCTGGGAACAGTCTATTTTAAGGTGGATTTCTAATGATAAAATCTAACAGAAATCTGGAAAGATTCCTAAACGTGAACTAGATCCATTTTCAATAACTAAAGGCAGCTGCAGGCATTCAAGGTCTCCAGAGAGACCAGTGTGTTGTTTCTGCAGATCTCCTTACCTGTTGTGCAGGAGGGTGTGATGATGGTCCACTAGGTACTGAGTGAACGAGCCCAGGAGCCCAAGGCTCTCATAAGGGATGCTGTGTGGCCAGAGGACAACCCACTGAAAGAGAACCAGAGGCACAGAGAAACCATTAGGGCACCTGAAAGACGAGCAGGTAGGAAAGAACACCGATTCTACCAAAGTAACTACCGGGGAAACAGGGTCTGAAGGAGGGCACCTGAATCTCCATCCTGTATTTCTAAAAAGCAGCTCCAATGGATGTGTGCCACAAAGAAACGAGGTGATGATCAGGCTCCATGCACTGGCGGAACGGATCCGATTTTTCATGAATTCCACCCCAAACATTATTTCCTAGACTTGTAGGAGTCTGCGTGCTTTGGCCAGCTTCTGTCCTGCAAACGGTGGCTTGGGCTCAGTCTCGCAGTTAGAATCATGCTCTTCCACTCTTGCACACCACGCAGACACACTCGGAAAATCAGACTCGCGGAGGATTAACAGCAACTCCTCGTTCATGTAAGGTTTTTGTGGTGACCTTACCAACTCCTCCTCAGGCTCTGTTACAAGCCTTTCTGTGAATCTCTGTCAACCCCTCCAAAGTTTAGTGCTCCACTTAGATCTGCACCAAAGGCAACACTACTTCTCCCAGGATGCTGTTTAAAGCCCAATATTCCAAATAAAGTACAACATATCACTGCGGCCTCCTAACCGCGTGGTGGAGAGGGGCTGGCATCTGCCAGTTCCACTAAATTCCAACTCGAATCTTCAGTTTCCCAGCTTGTGTGTTCGAACAGGGTCGCGGGATCCTGGCACAGAAAGGGCACTCGGGGAAACTAGAGTCCCACGCCTCCATCCTGCACACGGCGAAAGGAGGGCGGAGGTGGTCAGAGCGACGCCGCTGTGGAAATGACACCCGTCCAGGTTCCAGGATCTCCCGGGAAAGATCCAAAATAGCTTCGCCTTCCTCCTACATGATACCGGTTTACCCCAACCTGTTTCCGGGCGTCTTTCCCGTTCGTTATCCTGGAAGTGAGACGAAAGTCACTCCTCCCCGCAGTAGAGCTGTCCTCCTGCTGTCACACCGGTTCTTGCTCACCAGTGAAATCCTAGCCGTCCCTTGGCTTTATCCGCTGTTTTCCAAGCAACTCCCCCTGCTTCAAACACTCTAAACCTTCTAAAACCCCGCTTAGCGCCCGCTGGCTTTAGTAACCTAGGCAACCACCAGGCGCGCATGCGCACCGACGCCGTTCCCACGGCGCCCCTCGCGCTACGACAGCCCGGAGGGCCAAAACACAAGTGCCCGCGCTCGCGCCCTTTGCCTCACCGCAAAGAATCCCAGCCCCAGCCCCGTGAGGAGGGATGGCAACGGTCAGGCGGTAGGCAATAGGCGGTAGCATCCCTTCCGGCCATCGTGTTTGCCAGTACCATGGCTCTCAGTGGTCAGGTGGGGAGACGTGCCCGCCCCCAAGTGAGGAAAGCCAGGCCAACTGGTTTCGCAGGGCCAGGAACACCTACCAAAAGCCTTTGCTTGCGCTTGCGCTTGCGCCAGCGCCAGCGCCTGCGCCTGCGCCTCCTTCTGGGGAAGAGCTGGAACTGCGCCTGCGCGGGCTCTCCTCCAAGTGGAGGCGGACCCCTGGATGAGAGGAGCGCTTGCTCCAGGCGGTTGTCCCAACTCCGAGGACCCTACCGTGCAGTAGCCTAAGGAGAACATGATGACCGCGAACCAGAACAGACTGCCCCTCTGGAAGTAGGCCGCGTTGCCTGCCATCATCGCCATCGCCATCGCTGCAGCTGTGTTCTTGGCATCGCGGCCGGCTGCGCTACCAGTGTGGTGTACGCGGGGCCAGCAGGGGTGGACCTGGGCGGCAGCTCCGCCCAGCCCGCGGGGAGGGAGAGGGCTCCCGGCCAGCCCCGTCTTGGCCTGGTCACTATCTGTAGGGAACATCCTTTCCAAGCGTCGCTCTCTGTAACGCTGTCTTTCCTATACATACATGTTTTTTAAAAAACGATAAATAGGGGCCGGTTCTGGGTGCAGTAGGCTAGGCCACCACCTGTGGCCCTGGCATCCACATATAGGCATCCTTGAACTATGACCACTTGACCATGATGGATCTTTTTGATTGCTGTCAGTTTTGATTTGGCAGTATGTTAAAAATTTTCCATCTATGTTCATCAGAGATTTTCACCTATCCTTTCTTGTTGTGTTCTTTTGTGGCTTGAGTATCAAGGTAAGGCTGGCCTCCAGCAACGAGTTTAATATACAAATATTATATACAAATTGCATGTATTTCATATATACATTTAGGAGCATGGTGATCCTTCCCACCCACGCTCCCATCCTTCTTCCTCCTCCCTCTCCTAGTCCCAATCCTAAATTTTTTTTTTGTTTGACAGGCAGAGTGGACAGAGAGAAAGAGAGAAAGGTCTTCCTTTACCTTGGTTCACCCTCCAGTGGCCGCCATAGGTGGCGGACTGGGGCTGGCGCACCACGCTGATCTGATGGCAGGAGCCAGGTACTTCTCCTGGTCTCCCATGGGGTGCAGGGCCCAAGCACTTGTGCCATCTTCCACTGCACTCCCTGGCCACAGCAGAGAGCTGGCTTGGAAGAAGGGCAACTGCGACAGAATCTGGTGCCCCGATCGGGACTAGAACCCAGTGTGCCGGCACACAAGGCGGAGGATTAGCCTAGTGAGCCGCGGCACCAGCCATCGAATCTTAATTTTTACAAAGATTTATTTTCAGTTTACTTTATACTCATTATCCCTACACTAAGTAAAGAGTTCAACAAACTGTAGAGACAAGGGCTGTAAACCATCATTGCATCTCAGAGTGTCCATTTCAATTCTATAGATTACCTTTTAGGTACGCTTAGTTACCATAGGCAGAGTGACAGAGATGGGAGGCAGGAGAGAGAGAGACAGAGACAACCATTCCATGTTCTGGTGCATTCCCCAAATGCTCACAACAGCTGGGGTGGGGCCAGCACCAGGCTGAAGCCACAGTCAGGAAGACTCCATCTGAGTTTCCCGTGTGGAGAAGAGGAACCCAAGTACTTGGACCCTCTGCTGCCTCCCAGGCACATTAGCAGGAAGCTGGGTTGGAAGCAGAGCAGCCAGGACTCGAACTCTCCTCTCCCACATGTAAATTCACACGTAGTGCAGCAGTAGAGGGCTGTCCAGTAGCGCCAGAGGAGTGTGATGAGATGTCTGCAGAGCAGGATGGGCATGTGCTGAGTCACAGCAAACACCCCACACTCTCCCAGTGTCATCGGATGGGGAGAACAACATGAAGAAAGCATCGTGCATCTGGAGAATTAGGGTAGTTTTTGGTTGCTAGAAGAAACAATGTGAAATTAAATTTCATTGCTAGAAGAAACTGTGAAATTGTCCGCAGATCAAAACTCTTCTGATTCCTAATGCCACTCATAGCAGGGCTGTCCCTGCCTTTCCAGACAAGAGGTTAATTACCCTGATTGGCAGGTGGGCACAGAGGTGTGGTCAGGTAGGGGCATGAGGTCACTCGGGGTGGGGTGGAGGCCTGATCTTCCAGCTCACAAATGTGATCAATTTTTATTTATTTATTTATTTGAAAGTCAGAGTTACACAGAGAGAGGAGAGGCAGAAAGAGAGAGAGAGAGAGAGAGAGAGAGAGAGAGCTTCCATTGCCGGTTTCACTCCCTAATTGGCCACAATGGCCATAGCTGTGCTGATCTGAAGCCAGGAGCCATTATCTCCCCCAACACCCCACCCCCAGTCTCATCGGGTCCAGGGACCCAAGGACTTGCTCCATCCTCCACTGCCTTCCAAGGCCATAGTAGAGAGCTGGATCGGAAGTGGAGTAGCCAGTTCTGAAACTGGCGCCCATATGTGATACTGGCGCTCCAGGCCAGGTCCTTAGCCTACTGTGCCACAGCGCTGGCCCCAGGAGGTGGTATTGAGATGTGGGTGGGACCAGGGCGGTTTCTTGCCCAAGGGTGTAAAGCTCAAATCATTGTGATGACTGATGATGATGATGCTCAGTAGGTTTCCTGCAGGAATTGGGTATAGAGGACATTCGTTCATAACTGCTTCATGGTTAGGCGAGAGGCGGCACAGAGTAAAAAAGTAATGTTGGCTGTTGTTCTTACTATTGTTGCAGTCTAGTGGATTAAGCATTGAGATGTCTGAGAAAGGGTCAAGCAGATAGCTAAAGTTCGGTTTGGGAAAATGCACATTCATTGCTGGCGCCACGGCTCACTAGGCTAATCCTCTGCCTGTGGCGCTGGTACTCCAGGTTCTAGTCCAGTTGGAGTGCCGGATTCTGTCCCAGTTGCTCCTCTTCCAGTCCAGCTCTCTGCTGTGGCCCGAGTAGAGAGTGGAGGATGGCCAGGAGAAGTGCCTGGCTCCTGGCTTTGGATCGGCGCAGTGCTCTGGCTGTAGTGGCCTTTGTAGGGTGAACCAATGGAAGGAAGACCTTTCTCTGTGTCCCTCTCTCACTGTCTAACTCTGCTTGTCAAAAAAAAAAAAAGAAAAGAAAAGAAAGAGAAAGAGAAAGAGAAAAAGATAAAGAAACTGCAATCTCATTAAGTGGGCATTTGACAGAAAATCATTAGGAAAACTCAGTGTGCTGGAAGTCAGTTTGATGAATCACCAGTTTACAGTTTACCGGATTCACCAAACTGATGGGCTGTGGCTTTAACATGTCAGGTCATGGAAAAAAAATGCTACATTAAAAGAAAAAAAGATTTATTAGGGCCAGTGTTGTTCACTAGGTTAAGCTGCTGCTTGCGATACTAGCATCCCATATGGGCATCCATTTGTTTCCCAGTGGTGCCACTTATTGTTAAAGATGTATTTATTTATTTGAAAGGCAGAGAGGCAGAGGCAGAGGCAGAGAGGGAGAGAAAGAGAGGTCTTCCATCCGCTGGTCCTCTCCCCAGATGGCCACAACGGCTGGAACTCCGCTTCTGATCCAGCTCCCTGCTAATGTGCCTGGGAAAGCAGCAGAGGGTGATCCAGTTGCTTGGGCCCCTGTGTTGTACCTGAGTGAGTGTAAACAAAGGAGCACCACACATTGATAAAATTTGATGGTCCTTTATTGCCGGCGGTGGAGAGTGGGCTCATGCCCAAAAGAACTCTCGACCCTGAAGCCCAAAGCAACAGGGTTTATAAAGGCAAAAACTGCAAAATTGGGATGGGAATACATGGTTGCTAGGATCGGGGGGAATACATGGTTATGGGGGTCAAGCTGACCTAAAACCGATGCGAAACGAGTATCAATTATAATCTTGACAATGCCAGTTGCAATCTTAACAATTTCAATTATAATCTTGACATTAATCCAGGTATTGGTTTTAATCATATGTAGGACATAGACAAATTACATTTTTATCATTAACCCAGGTGCAGCCTATCCACTTCCAAGCTTGAGCGATCATGCTAGGGGGTTTCTATGCTCTGCCTAGTGTGATGTAGTGGACTGCTATTGTTCAACTGTTTTAGACCATAGTTTCAGAGCAGAGCCTCATGGTGTATGTGTGTGTTGGGGAGGCACCTTCCCAGAATGGAGTCTCAGGTTCCCCAAAATGGAGTCCCTACTGTCAAGGTGTTACTTCACCTGCACCCACACAGGATACCTGGATGAAGCTCCTGGCTTCTGCCTGGCCCAGGCTTGGCTGTTGCAGCCTTTTAGGAGTAAACCAGCAGATGGAAGATCTTTCTTTCCCTCTCTCTATGTAAGTCTACCTTTCAAATAATAATAAAGATTTATTTATTTATTTGAAGGCAGAGTTACAGAGACAAAGTGGGGGGAAGGGAGAGATATGGAGGTCGAGATCTTTCATCTACCAGTGCATGCCCCAAATGGGCACAATGGCCAGAGCTGAGCCAGGCTGAAGCCAGGAGCTTCTTCTAGTATCCTAAGTGGGTGCAGGGCCTTCTTGCACTGCTTTTCCAGGCACATTAATAGGGAGCTGAATCAGAAATGGAGCAGCCAGGAATCAAATTGATGTCCATGTGGGATGCTGGCATTGCAGACAGCAGCAGCTTAACCCACTGCACCCAACTCTGGCCTGAAAATGCTACATTTTGAACAGGTAAACAACGAACTGAACATAGGTTTGGACTTGTAAGTTAAACTGTTGACATCACAGAAACAATGGGGGAAATGAATATATAAGTCATTGATCCCAAAAGTGAAAAAAATTCCAAACATCTCGGAAATAATAATAATAATAATAAAAAGTCCAGAGAAAAGACATTTAGGAAACACAAGTCCACTCTGTAGAGCACCAGAATCTCAAGTTCATTTGTTACCACACTTTGTTTTATTCTTTTTTAAACCGATGACCTTTATCAAAATTGCCATGCTGATAACTTGATTGTGGTCAAATTTCTTCCAGCATCACTGGGAACTCTTCCTGTAGCACTTGAAACAGGTGTCAGGCTGGCAGGACAGAGGTTTTCAGTT